CAGTGTACATTGATATGCTGTAATTGGGTCCTGAGAGAAAGTTCTACCAGCAGCTGGACAAAGCATGACAATAATATGATGTTCCTCGTAGACAACCGGTGGCACTGTGTTAATGTTGACATCCCTAACATTGGCGGCAGTGGCTGAGAATGGGCATACAGGAAATAGTGTTAGATCCATTCAGCACCAGCTAGTTGTTTCGGCCCAGCCTGTATCCTAGTCGGAATGCATAGGTCATGTATCGCCACGAAGCCGTCCAAAATATTTTGAGGCTGCCGACAGATGAAGTGGGGACTACCCAACCAGGTACTGCAGTTCAATGGTCACTCATCACTCGAAAACAGAAGTGGAGTGAAGGCATGCAGGGTTTTGCTTTCATATAAGTATTCTCTCTGGGTTTCCACGGAGACAGCCAAAGTAACCATTTAGCTACATTCCACTGGTCAGGTGACTTGGATGACTTAGTATCTTGCTAGCCATCAACAAGTCCTTCCCCGTGGTTGTGAAAGAAAGGCTGACACTAAGGAGAGAGACGGCAGAATAATTTACAAAAGTTGACCCGCTATTCATAAAGGTTCAGTACCAGTCCGTTATTTTCCCCTCATTGTTCAAGCATACTAAAGTGACCTCATAGTGCATTCGACTCTCTTTCAGATATCACTGCTGTGCAAAACTTAACTTCGTCAGGGGAAAGTAGAATCAGAAAGCGGAATTCCCCACCGTACAAGTAGTCCTACAGCCAGGATAGCACCTGACCACCTACACATAACTCTGCTGTTTCGGACATAAGGATAGCGTGTAAGACCGAAACGAAGGTCTTAGAAAAGTCCAGGAAAGTCAAATCAACAGGGACTTGAAGGTCCCAACATGCCATCCAGTTGTCACAGGCTGCCAGAATGTCTGAAATGTAGGACTTACCCATTTGGAAGCTGTGCTGAACGTCATCGAGTGCTTCCGTTTTTTCCAAAGTATTCTCCAATGTGGTTGCCCTTAAGTCCTTCCATTATCAGTAGGAGTACTAATGGCCGGCGACACTTCGGGTTCGACTTGATTTTACTTTCAAAATCGGACAGGAAATGAGGCGTTCTACTCTCTTTGGAATTAGCGTTGATCTAAAAAGCATTGGAAAAGGTTACGGAAAGGGCCACACAGCATAACCTTTCAACACAGATGGGCAAATGTCATGGCATGCTAAGGATTTTCCTGGGATCTGTGGAAATTTTTCGAGAACAGTAGTACTAGCTACCTATGCAACTTGTCTGTTGACACGTGAGGCTGGATGACGTGACTTTGGACACGTTTAAAATGTGGCGCTAAACGCTTCGGCGTTCTCCAATCTAGAGAACTTCTCTCCAAACTGGTCCTGTAAAACGCACTCTGCATGGGTAGTAGACTACCTCTTTGTGATAAATCGATATAAGTTATATGGCTCTGAACGTGATTTGTGTGGAACAATCTCCTATCCCACCTCACCTCAGTATCACATGAATCCCTTAACGCCTCATGTGCACTGTGGTGTCATTTTTCTGCAGACTAGGTTTGAGTCATGCTTTCTTCCTCGCCTTCAAGATGCGGTCAGTGTCTTGACTTATCAATGAGGCATGCATTGTCTACATTTCTATCAATAATGGGACATTTTTCAGAGATAGCCCCTCTTAGTGATGTCCCTCACTAGTTTTCGGTGATGGTTATTCGATCAGTGATGCCACTCCTGATTCTATGGAGCTATTGATAGGCACTTTCTCATCGCCACCTAGTTGACTTTCCAGGTTGCAAAGACAAGAAAGGGCACTCTCATGATAGTTCTTCACTGAATACAGCTGTTCAAACCGGACCGTTTGGTATCAGTAGACGATTGTTAGTTAAAAGGAAATCCAGTCTTGATGGCTATTTGGTCCGTCGCGGACAAATGCTATCACCGATATTTTAACACAGAAGGATGTTTATGATGACATCTAAAAGTTCTCAACGGAATTCCTGGCTTGAATTAGATCTGTCCTGCCCGCAGTTGGAAGTTGAAATCTCCTACTATGATAACCTGATTGTGCCCCATTTTTGGTGATATTCCAGGTTACCAGTAGGGAGTCGGCAGGCATATCTCCTCGGATACTTGGTGTGTTCCACCACAAGTATCTACAGATTTCGTCTGAGAGCCCTGTCACTAGGTCATTCATCTTTGAACTGATTATTCAAGTATATTGTTACCCCACTTCCCTTCTTGTTTTACTTATCTCTCCTGAACAGAAATATCCGTCTATATCCGCTTAAATTTCACTAATATTAGACAATAACCAAGTCTCTGAGTAAAATGGGAATAGAAGGATATTAGCTCCGCTACCTTACTCCCCTCACACTTCTGTCTAGACACTTGGAGGTGCCTCTGGAATTGTGTGGTGTTTGACAGATCGTCATGTGAAGCAACTAAAGCCAGTGCTGGGCATCGGTGGGATCAGGATGGTTTATGTAGTCGCTGTTAAGTAAAAGTCATCAGTCTGTTCCTCTTCGCTTCAGTAGGGAGTGATGGTAGCCTGAACATGAAGAATAACCGCTGTTTGCTGCTGTCGGAGTTTCTTCGGTCTGCTTTCGCAACGAAGATACTGAAAAAGTCTTATTATTTTAATTATGAACATTATATGGATAGAATTTGACTAGATATGCAGGTCGAACAAAGCGTGTATTTCACTAATTCATATCTGAGCACTATCCAGTATGACTGCTGAGTGGAGAATGTAAGTCAGCCACTGGTTATATTCCTTAACAAATGTTTACTCTTGGTCATCCGACTAACCACACTAGCATTAACTTTTGGAGACGGTGAACAGTTTAGAATGGGTGAGGGTAAGCAACCTGTGTAAGGTAGGGGATACGCACCTGAATCCAAATATATCAATCTGAACTCAAAAACCTTCACGTTTTCTTAGCGCTTAAAAAGTTGCTGATCCACTAGGTTGAAGAATAAGTCGAAGGTAAAGAAAATAGTGAATGCATTAACAGTACAATACAAATAGCATCCAGTCAGTATAATTTAAAACAAGGTACAAATAAAAAAGCACACATTTCCAATGTGAAACAAATAAATGCAAATAAAATAAAATACCAACACGAAGAATAAAAGTCCCTCAACCATGAGCAAGGAAGGAGTATGGTCAGATTTTGTTCTTCTGTGCCACTCACTTACTATTCGAATCTCGCTAAAATTGATTGCTTCATCATTGAAGTCTCTATCATGAACTTTCTTTATTCACCATTTTTACATCGATCAAAAAGATACTCCCCTATTTCGCATTACATGCAGAAAGTTTACACTTGGTTGGATTCCATAGACTTATTATTATTCTCATCATATTGTACGACATTACACGCCTTCTTTCCCGCTCTAGAAACCAAATAGAGAAATATAGTAGTACTGCAGCTCAGCATTATCATTTAACAGACCATTGGGTGTGTAATCAATGTGAATACGACTATGCAGCTCTATGCAGTGAAAATATAAAGAAAACCTTGCGAATCTATCCACTAGGACTCAGGTAACCAGCAGGTATGCAGATTTCCGAATGTATCTTCGAACAAGCCACTCAAGTGTAAGTCTATTTTTCAATCGAAAGTGCGGAACTAACCTCTAATTATCTATCTGCCGTGAAGTAAATCATATCTAACATACTAACTCAATGAAAGTGAATGAGAACGTGCAAAAAACTGAAGCAATGGACACGTAAACAGGTGGCTATAGCAGTATTTTGCTGACAGAGAACAGAATCAATACAGTAAATAAACGAAGAGAACTGTGAAGATGGATTAGCATTTGATAAGCACTGTCTGACATTTTGAAATGCGAAAACGTGATGGTGAATTTTCAACTTCAGCCGAATTGGGTTCAGTTCACATATTCTTACTAAGTACTCCCCTAACGCAGGGAGTACTCATCAGATGCTGAGCCGAGAAAGAAAGTAAGCGATTTATGGTCTGTGAAAATGATGAAATTATGACCTTCAACCGAATGTCAAAAGTGGTGTACAGAACAGGAAATAGCTAGGAGTTCCCTACGAATATACCATACCTTGTTTCAAACTCCTGCAGCCACATCGAAAAAAGGTTGCGACTGGTTTTCAGTCAACTGTCGCAAAACTGCTCCGACTGCTGAGTCAGATGCATCAACAGCAATACTGGGTCGTGATGCATAGGGACGGTTGCATTCACGACGGCTTCCTTGACCTTAGAAAAAGCAAGTCTAACCACGTTGTCCAGAGTCGCGTACTTCTTAGTCTCTCGAAGTAGATCTTTAAGTCGTCTCTGCGCTTGTCAAGTTCGCACAATAACAATTCCTAAAAAATCACGAATAGCATAGATTATTTGTGGAACATCTACCAAAACAGAATAGTTGTGAGGATCATTTGAACAATTCATACCTGATAAACATCTCCTGAACTGATTTTATACTCAGACGCTAGCACCCCATAATAATTCCTCTGGATTTCAATCACCACTTTAATTCTTTCGATTGTCGCTGGTTCAAAAAAAAACTTAACACTAAATCCCAATTTTAGAATGCAGTTGTCCAAAGTGGCTTTTACATTTCTCGCATTCATGAGAAACTCATAAATACATTAGGACACATGGACATGTATGTATTCAAAATATACAATGAAAGAGAGGAAATCTTAGATTATACTTTTCCAGCCATTGGTTTAAATAACAAATCATTAACCAAAAGCATACTGATATACTGGACGAAACTTTATTGCTTGCAGATTGAAAAAGAGGTAAACAGTCATATGAATACAGCGATTTGAACTTTAGATGAAGATTACTATACAGCTCTAAACAAATTGTACACTACGAGTGAATGTGAATAAACCGTTTGAAAGTGGCATTAACACAGGTAATTTTTAAATTTTATTTATTACATAAAAAATATTAAAAGAAGCTATAAACCAAAAAGTGCTGAAGTGAAAAAATCACAGAAATCCATTTATTCTTCTCAATTGAAGTAGAAAATAATTTCAGTGCTGGTCCATCGCTACGGCCAACCTTGTAAAAATTGTGAAAGGTGATGGTCTCTGTGATAGTTCCCTTCCATAATGAGTGTCTGCTGAAAGCTAAAAATAGATGACAATTTGACGTTAAAAGAGACAGTGTATGACGTGTGGAAAACATTTGTTTAACCTTTAAGAAACATTTAGAAAAACATTATTATCATTACAGGTCTCCAGCTAGCACAAAAGTATCTGTGTACTTTATCAACAGGATATACGTTTGAGTTCAAAGACTCTTTTAAAATGTGGACAGAAGTTGTTTTGCACAAAAATAGGACGAAGGAACTGGTAAATTCTGATATCAATCGAATGTTAACAAGTGCACATATTTCCTGGACGACAGCTGCTACCTTAACGTCGTGGTCGAGCTTGCATACCACAATGACTCAAAGAGCTATAGTGAAGCAATGCTTGTTCTCTCGAGGTTATGCCAAACCACAAAGGTCTATTGGATAAGGGTTAGATAGAAAGCAGTTACCATTATAGTGTATGTTTCTACGCTATGATGGGGGTTGTGAGGATGAAGATGTACTGCTGATTAGACACGGATGTGACGGCAGTAGGGTGTTTCCCTTGGATGACCAGCAGTGCCATAATGATGCTGACTTCCCAACGGGAAGGATAAATAGAAGAGACCACACCCTTCCAAAATAAAGCACACTCATACCTACTCACATCATGCCGATCCCTGCAACAAGGATTCACAGTCCCATTAAAAAGCTAAAAACACCACAATCTCAAACTACTGAGAAGACCGCGTGTGACCAGCCTAAAGCAGATGTTGCTAGAGCTCTGTGGTAATACAGTATCTCTTCTTTTTCAGGCACTTCAAGAAGAATTAGCCTTCCACATTGTAGGTAGCCGGGAAGTGTCAACCACCCACATCCTTCCAGTAGCACACAAAACCAGAACACAATTTTTCTTCCTAACTGCTGTCTTCTCCTTTGCCTTCACTTCCTGAGCCTCTTATTCTACGACCATTGCGAACGATAAAAGCGACTGAAACCTCATTCCTAGTCTCCCAAAACTGACAAAATCAACGTAGAACCCCAAATGCAAATACATCGGCTCGAATTGTCACACTCTACAGCAGCACAAAAACGATAGGTGGATGGAAAAGGAGTGATACCAAACAGGAGGAAGTTGTGTGAGAGAATAAGCAATCTGAAGATAACGGCTATTGCGAATATACAAGCTTTATAAAATTTCAAAGAGGTGGCGACTCAGGATGCGCGGTACATGCCTAAGCCACCTCAGCCAATTAAGATTCACAACCTCATCAATCGACTTACCTATCTTGCTTAGTATCCATCGCTTGATCTAAACATTGCTTACATGATGATTCTAACAACACACGACCAATGCTACGAAGACATCTGTGATAGAAACAACGTTAAGCCTTAATATCTTCTACTTTTACCGACAATGTATCATAGCCGTAAACAAGACAGAACGAACTGCAGGACAGTTTACTCATCCTTTGATAGATAGTCGGATATCTCACCAGTTGGCGCCAAAGATGACCCAATTTGGCATATGCTGAACGGACCTTCTGTATCCCAGCTGAGACTTCGTCAGCAACCAGCCAGAAGTTTTTAAGGATGCAAGTAGGAAATTCCCTAATAAAATGACAGAGGTACTAGGCAGCGTTTGCGAATCCAAGGTTGTACCTTCACACTGGTCTGCTACACTGGTTACGGCAGTTTATAAGAGAGGAGAGAAATCTGTCAACCATAGGAGAGCTATACTGTGTCCAAGATCCAAAGTTATCCAACGCATAACTGAAGCTCGGAATATCAATCTAGAGAAAAATAGGTAGGTTTCAAATCTGGTCGACGGTGTATCGACCATATTTTCACCCTCCGACAGGTCCTGACACACATACACACTATCCGGCCAGTGGCGGATATATGCCATATTTTTGGACCTGAAGGTAGTATTTCACTCTATCGACTGTGAGGTGTTGTGACAGTGTCTGACTGTGAAGAAAGCACTGAGTGAGAATGTATGCTAATCAAAGTTCCCAGCTAGAACTCACGCAGCCATGTCAGGGAGTTGCCACGTGAATTGAAGACAACTAGTGGTGTCCGTTAGAGTTATTCACTGTCGCCGTTCCTACTTAACGTCGTTATAGACACACTGATAGACACAAACCTAGGTTCGTCTGCCTTTGAAGGAATTGTTCTACTCCACTGAGGTTATCTGGTTGATTTGGAGTATGCTGAGGTGAAGATGTTGACAAAATGCAAGGCCCTATGGACGCATTGAGCAGAAATCTGACTACAACTGGCAAGTGTTTCTCACCTGGCAAATGCTAAATGATGCTCCAGGACGGATGTGATGCAAATACTCCCAGCTTAATGATAGGAAGTGAAGTGGTGGAATGTGTCGACCACCTCACTTACTTGGAGAGTTGCATTACCGCGAACGGTTTCGTTGCTGACAAAAAGTCAGCTGGGATACAGAAGACCTGTTTGCTATACTGCGCCGGTGAGATAACCCATAACCTATTAAAGGACGAGTATACTGTACTGCAGTCTGTTCTACCCTGCTATGCAGCTGTAAGAAATGACTGTTGAAAGTAGAAGACGTGAAGTGATTACAAGGCTTTGACCACATGTGTCTTCGCAACACTATTCGCGTTCGGTGCAATCACCGTGTGATCAATGTTGAGGTCAGGTGATGAGTGCTAGGCAAGTCGACCTCTGGGGTTGTGAACCTCAGTCGTCTGAAGTGACTTGGGCATGTACTGCGCATGCCGAGTCACCGTCTACCCCGACTTGTCATGCTAGGGAAGTTGGATAATGTTGGGAGAGGGTTCAGTTTACCCAGACCAAGACGTGGCTTCCTTCGATGAAGTCTCTTAGTGTTAGTGAGAGCCATATGGGGAGATGTAGACTACTAACTTCAGTATGAAGTTAGTGCTGATGATGTCGTCTAGCAAGACGATGAAAGCTTCACGATTAAACAACCCAGCTCAGAGAACAAAATACAACCAAGAATTCACACTACACTGTCTTATACTTTCGTAAAAAAAATTAGCAACAAAGTACATTGAAGTATGTGATAAACAACTAGTTGAGCGGACAGTCTTTAGTAGCCTATCCATTATTTCACGGGAGTGATCATTAGGACTTAAGAATAGTAACAACTGGTCGACTTCACTTTTGTGCTCTAACAGCACTTCATTCTTTCACTTTAAGGATTGCTGGACTACAGAAATAATAAGGGGTGTTGTTTGATAACTTTGATACAAATATGAGCAATAAACCCTACTCGAAAAGTTATCCCGGAAATAATAAATACTGTAACACTGTGTGCTTTATCAATTAAACAAACCAGTTGAGCGCTTCACTTACCTGGAAAGTCAGATCAGCCCTGGTGGGTTAGTGGTCAACGAAATCTCTGCATGGATACAAAAGATTCGCCAGGCTTTTGCGAACTTACACAATCTGTGGCGCTGCCGCGATATGTTTGTTTGTTAATGGTCGAGTGTACTATGCTGCAGTCCGCTCTGTTCTACTCTATGGCTCAGAAACACAGCCATTAAATATAGAAGACATGAGAAGGCTGGGTTCAGGTGTTTGACGACCATTGCTTTCATAGCATAGACTGCGTTTCGTGGTGTCATCATGTGAGTACCGCAGACTTCAGGTGTAGAGTTTTAGGGAGGAGAGGTAATAGAGTTGATGTGGTTGTGAATCTTCATCAACTTAGCTGGCTGGGACATGTGTTACGTATGCCTAGCCACCATCTACCTTGTCGCACAATCTTGACCAAAGTAGGTAGGTTCAGGCTGAAAAAGGCTCGGGGCGTTCAGATTAAAATATGGTATCAATGAATAAAGTCCTTGACTGCTCGTTTGAGCCATGCAAAGTAGCCGGTTGAGGTCCGTGGGACAAGGGAAACCAATGGTTGGAGACTCCAGGTGATATGGTTCAGAATCGATTTCGGTGGCGCAGATGTATACATACATCATCCCAATCTTAACCGTTATACTTAATCTCATCCTCTTCTCATTTTTCCTCCCTCTCTCTACTACTTTCTGCTCCTTTTGGCAGATTTTTCTCCCTTCTTTCACTTCCCATTTTATTGCCTTGTTACTTGATGTGCTGATATGAGGTGTGGCAAGTTAGACTGTTACACAGTAATGCCTGGTCCAGTGTTGATCTTGATGACGATGAAACAATCTAATATGAAGTAGGGTTTCGTTAGTTTTATAATTTTCTAGCTGTATATCAGCAGGCTGTATCCAAGAGCCCATCTTAAATTTGAACATTGACACTTGCTCTTTTCATCAGCATTGTTTGACGTATTTTAAGTAATTAATAAGCATTCATAAGTAAACCGCAAGAAATGTATGCAACCTTTTGGAAGCATATATACTCAGCTAATTAAGGTCACTATAAACCATATTTATACAATAAGTTTAAATCATACTCCATTGCATACACCGGTGATTGAAAGATCAAAAATCATGGTTGGTATTCCAAACAGTATGTCCGCTCCATCCACTTAAACGATGAATTAGAACAGTAATCAATAACTTCACGTTATCAGTTCCTATTTTATATAAACGACAAACAGGACATGAAAACAGTTTTCATAAATATTCTGGAATGGGAACTACAGGTGCAAAGTAAAGGATATCAGTACTTCAGGTGACAGAATATTTATTGGATTTCGAAAGATACAAAGACACACTTAAGAATAAAAAGATAACGAGATGAATAAGAATGAATATCTTATAAATAAACTAGAGAACTGTTGAAACATAATTGATTTTATTCTCATTTATATTTCACAACCATCAGTTGACCTTGATTTGATGAATGCAAAAGACACAACAGCATTTGAGGAAAAACTTATTTAACACCAAAGTTAATTTACACTGATCACAGAAAACCTTCATTGGGAACTTACACCTTTTGCATTATCTGAGCCAACATCCCCACGAGCCATTAATAAAGCGTAAGCTTGATCAGGACGAATATCAGGGAACTGACGTTTCAGATTCTAAGATAAGACATATAATATGATGCAATGTGAAGTCAACTGATATAAAGAAAAATTTAGATTATTTTAATACACTTCGATAACACACCATGAAACATACAAAACTAAATTATTCCGACTGAAATCTCTTACACAATAAACTTACACACGCTGCATTGTATACTGAAAGTCCTTGTTTAGATACAACTTGTATCGAACAACTTATATATCTGAGTTCAATTTCGAAAGCATGATAGCACTATCCTGCGTGGTTACAAAAATCGGTTAGAAAGAAGTTCTATGAGTGAAAATGCCACTATCTGCAAGAAACGTGTGGGACACTAAATAAGTTAGAAACTAAGGTTCAATTTGAAGGTTTCTTCTCACAAACAAAAACACCTAGTATACCTATACGTTTGGATTACAGATAGGTCTGAAATTGTATCTAGTAGATTGCTGCCACAGGTATCAAAGGTCACAAAACTGTTCGCCCAACTAATGAAACTAGTGAGGTGAATAGTCTGTAAACATAATTGGAAGAATAGGCTCAAATTTATCAATTTAATTGAGAAGAGAAACACACAGGATAAGAAGATGCTGTCGCTCGAAATAAGTTCGTTATTTCCCGATGTTCCGCTATTGGAAATAGCAGATTGCATATGAACTTATTACGAATGAAACAAATATTGGCCAATCGTGAGGCGACCGGAAATAGCTTATGCTACATAATGAATGTTCATTTCAACAATGGTTTTTATAGGCAGGCAGGTAAAATAGCAATAGGTTTCTCACCTGAATTTACTCCTATCGATCTGTTCATGTACAAGTTGAAAGTGATAGAAAACCACAGTCTTAGGAAAAAATAGACTACTTATTTCCATCTAGGGGAATGAGCGGTTTCTAAACCCCCATTTCAAGAGAGATAATACCTGAGAAAGACAGTCCCAGCAGCAACTCTGAGGCTAACTTTAAATAGCAGATCTGCTTTACCATCACTGTTGAAAGATAGGATTTCTGATACGTTCACGTCAATGTGCATTTACTAAAATGCTGTTCCTGCCGAATAACTTATGTGCGAAGTGCAACCTATTTAGCAGTATCTACCAGTGTGGTCGATAAAACAGAACGATGGTTACTAGCTACACACAATCACAACTAAACAGTACCCGTTGGTATAATGGATAAGAAGTCGACCTGAGTTACTTACATCACAGCTAAGCATCCATCACAGGCGGTCTTCTGAAAGCTGTTAAATCTATTGCCACCAAAATACTAATGCTAGAATTGTGTGCCAAAGAAACTCGAACATCCCATTATTTATGCTTGTACCCTTACAGAGCTAGCTTGACATAATAAAATTCAGTCTCAGACTGACTTATGATTACTTGACAAGGATTTTGTGTTTTTCTCGATTCCATCAGTTTTTCGCTACCATGTAAAATAATTTTAATATCGATTTATGACTGCATAAACTGTTGTCAAAACCATGCGTTACGTCATCTGACGAATATATTATAACCTCATGAACTAACTTATATATCCTAATTACGACTAACTATGTACAAACAAAACAATATCAATATGACTGTTTACAAACACAACATAGTCTCATGAATATCCCAAACGAGTTGATATTTGATGGCTTGGAAAAAAAAAGTTGAGCATCGGGAAAATGATATCCATTATTGTGTTCAATTTATAATACGTCTCATAAGGGAAGACCAAATTTATCTGTGGACAGTAAAAGTAGGCATACATTGAATAATTGTAAATGCTTTGCTAGTATCCACTTGGCATCCAGTATCGACGAAGTGTGTAAGTATGGAGCTCTTTATTGTTCCAACCTCTCCCTTATTCAGTCAAAATGGGTGGTGCTCAGAAATCCGACGATCGGCCTGCCTTATCGTATGCCAAATGTAACTAGCTCCACATAAGCAGCTGAACTGATGAATGCATATGGGAGTGGCAGAACCAGATAGCCTTTCTTTGTTTCTCCCATCTAGAACCGAGTGGTTAGAGATGTAACATAATTTAGCGGCTGAAAATTCTCTTTGGAGGACTCCTTATATGAGCTGTGTGATGATCTCATTCGGAATGTCACTTTGGAATTCAAGCCGCAGGAAGATTTCTTCTTGGAACTGTTAGTAGTTTGGACTTTGCGTCACAAACGTTTCTGGATAGCCATTGGTACTAAGCAGGTCATAGATAGTGGGGAACTTTTCTTCAGCAACATCAGAGCAAAGGGCTATGGTACAATATGCTTGTAATAGGAGAGGTAAGGAACTAAAAAAACGTATGTATTGACCTGTTGTTGTCACCTCTCCATACATACCTCGCTTCGAAGTTTCATTAACGTTTGTTACCCGCAGAACATTAAGAAATGGGATACTATCATTTCGCTCCTCTTCTATTGTAAACCTGTATGTTAGTGGATACTAGCGAAACATTTAAAAGTATTCATCGTATACCAACCAATTTACCACATAGGTTGTACATTCGTCCAATTCACATAGCAGAGGTGATTGCAATCCATCTTCACTAAGCCAACCTTTGTATTCATTAACAATTAAAATGGTGTTTGACTTGATACATGAAAATGCTAATGCTAATTATAAGCACTGTTTCAACTACAGGCGGGACGTCAAAGTCACAACCGGAAAAGCAAGACAGGTGTTCATTAGCCTGAAACCAGTGTGAAGATCTTCTGTACTCAGCATGTGGAACAAGATCCGGATTTTCAACACCAACGTCAGTCAAGTCAGTGCTTCTATGTGGTTCAGAGACATGGCGCGTTACGAAAGGAATTTCCAACAAACTACAGACATTCACCAACAACTGCTTACGCTGGCTCGTTACTGAAGCTCAGATGGCCAGAAAGAATAAGCAACAAGAAACTCTCGCTGGGCAACGAACCAACGAGGCAAGAACCTATCGTTGAACAAATATGCATTGGAAGGAAGTGGAGATGGATTGGGCAAACACTAAGAAGGCCGACTGGGGACATCACGGCGTCAGGCCAGGCCCTCGAGTGGAACCCCGATGGGAAGCGACGAGTTGGACGTCCGAGGGTGACATGGAGGAGATCGTACGAGGAGGAAATGAGAGCTTCTGGGCTGTCGTGGAGCCAGATTCAAAAGATTTCGAAGAACAGAGTTCACTAGAGACGTGCTACTGAAGCCCTATGTTCCATTAGGAACCCAAGGGACTAATAATAATAATAATAATAATAACTATAGAAACCTGAGAACTAAATACTGTGTATATCTATATACAAATGTTAGTTGACTGAAAGACATAACTAATATCATGATTTTAATAGGTTATTGCGAAGGCAATTTAACATATGAACAGTTAACTGAACTTAATTGAACGAAATTTACGTGTATTGTATGTAAAGTCATGTAGTTGACATAAGTTTCTATCATCTCGTAAATTATTTATTAATAACATCATCTTCCTTAAAAGTATAAGAATGCAGAGAAAGAGTTATTCCATGTAGTTTTTATGGTTAGGTTAGTTGTACAAAATAACTAACAAAGAAAACGACTCAGCAACTAATTAACGATGATGAATATACCAGTCTATGAACAACACTTAATTTGTGATAGTTTATGATACTACTCGAATGCCTAGGCTAAAGTAAATAATGTAGATTAAAATTGTTGATGAGCGATTCCTATATCGAAAGCAGAAACCACCAAATTGTATAATTCAACGAAAATAAAACTGAAATATAACCTGTATGGTAGTGAATGGCCATTCCTTCTAGCAATCCTACTTTATTTTTCAGTTTCATCAACGTACAAACAACTTTTGAAATAAATTACATGAGACAGGTGTCACATCATCGATTAGTTAAGGGTGATAATGCAAATTCTTGGAAACTTGAGATTAACTGCTGAAGCATTTAATTGAAATAACAAGTGTACTGTAACTATCTATGACTTGAATTTGTAACACATATTCTATAACGAATTTTGAATGTTCGCCATTTTTGATAGATAGACTTTATACTGTTTACTGTTGTCAAATATTTTACCTACTATTATTCTTGTAAGTTGTTGTTTCCTTCTGTTTATCTAACTTTTAGAATTCTATACATGTTTATCTCTACATCTTACAAGTCATCATCTACAGGTCACATACAAGTACGTCATCAACGATATACTATATATATTCAGTCAAAATGAAGTTAATAATTACCGCAATATCCAAAGGTAACATTGATATATCAGTTGTGAGAAACAGCTGACCAATAGCTGTTAGAGCATCATACGCAGCAATTACCTGAAATTGGATTTGCAAAGAAAACGACCAATTAACTATCATACACAATACTGAAAATAATAAAAACAAAAATGTAGAAAAACTTAAACTGTACGGATTTCATGCATTTCAATTGTAATTCCAATGTGTAATTTACTTAGGGTTCATGTCGATGGAGTGAACAATATGTTTGTTAATGCACACTAGACTAATTACTGAAAATTACAAAAGAATGACAGGTAAGAGTTGCGGGGAAGCATTGCCAGTGTATAAATTATCTTAAATCATAGAGTAGATGCTATCCTGGTTAAAAACAAGTGGCATATTTGCAATTTGTTATGCTGCTCAGTACACTGCAACACCAGGAATATCAGAAACGAATGAAAATGAAAGGAAAAAGAAGAGATTTTAATTCATAGTAACTACTCTCAAGTCACTACAGCGGAGAGTATACAAAACCGAAAATTAAGTATACTAACTGTGGAAACAGGGCTTTTCCCTTTATTCATCAGAAAGTACACTCATCATCATCAATATATGTATACGACCAGGCTTTACTGCGTAACGGTCCGAGTTGCCACAGCGCATATCAGTACATCAAGTAAAAAGGCAGTGAGGCGCAAGATGAAGATTAGAAAATTCAGTCAAACGAAATAGAAAGTCCGAAAAGAGAGAAAGAAAGAATAAGAAAATGGTGAAATTCGGTACAGCGTCGTTAAAATGAGGATAATGTGTGCATACATCTGCACCACTGACATCGGTTTTGAGCCATATCACCTAGAGTCTCCAACCACTGGTTCCTCTTGTCCCACAGACCCCAACTGACTAGTCTGCATCACCCCACATGGCTTAAACCAACAGTCACAGACTTGATGCATGGGTTCCATGTTTTAGTGTGGCCACCCCGGGCCTTTTTCCAGCCTGGACCTACTTCGGCCAACATTGTGTGAGGAGGCAATCAGTGACTGGGAATACGTAATGCGTGTTCCAACCATCTCAGTTGATGAAGGTTCATAACCTCGTCAACTGATTTGCCTCCACTCCCTAGAACTCTATACTTGGCTTCTACGTTACTCATGTGGTGACACCACGAAACGCAGCCTATGCCATAAAGGCAATGGTGATCAAACACCTGAACCCAGCCTTCTCATGTCTTCCACCTTCAATCGTCATGTTTCACAGACATGCATACAGTAGAACAGAGCGGACTGCTGTGCAGATGCAGTACAAGCGACCCTTAATAGACAATCGGATATCACAACGGTGCCATAAGTGGTGTGAGCTGGCAAAAGCCAGCTAGCCGAGCCTTTTGTATCTGTGCAGAGATTTCATCGTCCACTGAGCCACTAGGGAAGGGCTGATCCTGCTTCCCGGGAAAGTGGAGTAGTCGACACACTCAATCACTACACTCTCGATCAACGGAGTCGAATGCCGCCGCCTTCAGGTCGAGAAATACAGCTAGTGTTGCGCCTCGATAGGCGTGCCCATGTTCCAGAAGCTGGTGGAGTGTGAATATTTGGTCGACATACCTGTGGCCGGGTCTAAAGCATGGCTGCCTGGTTTTCTCGGACTTGTTGTTCCCGAGCTACCTCAGGCGTGTCGAAGAATTATAGAACGTAGAATCTTGGACACTATGTTTGTCAGACTGATTCCTCTGTGGTTATCACAAGAGGACTTCTCACCTTTCTTGAAGACTAGCACAATCAGCAATTCAGACCAGTCAGAGGGTATCGTATTTGATTCTCATGTACTGGTTAACACTTCTACTAACCTGACTAAGAGCACCTTACCACCATCCTTGTATACCTCTGGAGCTAGTCTGTCTGATCCTACCACTCCTCTTCGTTTCAAGTTACCTACTGCTTGCTCGACTTCTCTGAGTGTTGTGGGGCCTATCTCAATGTTCCATTGAGGATCCGACTGGAAAGCGGGCAACGTAATGGTGGCTGGAGGCCAGTTAAACTGTTCCTCGAAGTGTTCTGCCCATCGTTCCAGTTTTCTCCCCTGCAAGTGAATCGCAGATCCGTACTTCTCCGCTATAGCCTCACTAACTGTTGTTGACGTTTTCGCTATCCGAACACGTACTCCAGAAGGAGCAGCAGTCTTCCACCGATCCTCTCCAGCGATGACTAATAGCACAGTTGTAGCAGGCGATCACCGTTATCTGTACGTTCAGCCGGGATTCCGAAAGTACCACCTAAGTGCCTTACTGCCTCACTCAGTCTACCCACCTGTGCATTGATGTCACCTGCATCAAACACCACGTTCGAACGTTTGGCTTTCGAGAAGAGGTTGGACAGTTTACGGTAGAACTCGTCCTTCATTCATCCGAACTACAGTCAGTGGGTGCGTAAACAGAGACTACAAAGAGACAATGGCGAGTCTCACTATTCCTTTTAGTTCTCACTGTGCCATTCAGTCGGATAGTGCAGAGGCGACTACCAACTGGGATCCAGTCTAGTAGTGAGTTTTCTGCCCTAGTGTTTAATGCTATGCCTACACCTCCAAGACCACAAGAGCTAGCTAACGAATCTCCAGGAACTCGAAGAGTGAATTTTGCGGATTCATCAGATTGGCTGGGAGATGTTAGGTGAGAATAACCGCACTGCTGTCCTGTATGAGTGTCTCACAAACACAGCACACATCCGTGACCCGAGTTGCTAGAGTCTTTGCCAACAAAGCCTGTTGACCAATTCGACGGAGGGTGCGGACATTGGAGGCTCCAATATATAATTTGGAGCATGGTTTTGAGGGATCAAGGTTGCTGTTTTTCTGAGTCAGATCGTTGTCGAGGGATGGAGAGGTAGGAGAAATTGAAGATGATGTAGTATTGTTAATTGAGAGACGTGAAGGAAGATTAGGGTGTAATGATGGGGGGGGTGGGTAGCAGTCTGAGGAAACCTGAGTGCTGATGGAGTTGTGAGGGTGGTTGACACTTCCCGGCTGCCCACACCGTGGAAGGCTATTTCTTGTTAGGTACCTGAAAGAGATTTGTGTGACCACAGAGCCCATCGGACATCTGCTTGAGGCCTGTCACACGAAGCCTTTGTGTATGGTTGTTTTGAACTTTTGTATTTTTGGGACTGGATGGTGGAAGAGAAATGACAAATGAACTAACACCGCGGGCCCGATAGACCGTAATGTATGATGGAGTGTGTTATTTTTGGGGCTGACCTTTTCTAACCCCCCTCCCCGCTGACATTGAGAAGGCAGTATCAGCATGACACTGCTGGTCATCATTCAAGGGAAACACCTTACTGCTCCCACACCTCATCCAGCTGGCTGCAGTACGACTTCGCCCTCAAACTTCCGTTATAGTTTAGTAATTTACACCACAACGATAACGGTAACTGCTTTTCTTCTAACCACTATCCAACAGAAGTTTTTGGTATGGTAGGACCTCGAGGGGACAAGTGTTCCACCAGCATAGCTCGTTGGGTCTTTGTGATATGCAAGCCCGACCACCACGTCAAGGTAGGTACTCCCATGATGGACAAACATTTGTAGACTTAGTCTGGGATGCTCTGCAATCAATCTGTTACTACTTTAGAGTCGTCAAGAATGCATGGAAAAATTGGCATGGAGAGAATAGTTTCTACGAAATACCTAGGAATTCCAATCCATGAGTTTTAAATTACTAAAGGGTGTACTAATAGTTTCTGGATTCAAAAACTCAACTCATCAGCTTTAATTGAACAGGAGTATCGGTAAGTGTAGTTAAGGAACCTCAAAATGAATAACCATGCGATATTTTGTTTGTAACAGTAACAATCAACATAGGACCTCGCACACAAGTGTATTGGTTCAAGTAGCCACACTTCACAGTAGTATAAAAAAAACAAGTAGAGTAAGAGTGATAACGAATTAGATAAGGTTGTATGAGAAAACAAATAATTTCAGGATGACGGTTGGTGCAAATATTCAGGCTTTAGAAGATATTAAGATGTGATAACCTCTGCGCCATTGTGACCGATTTTAAAACATGTCACCAACGGACCTTTCGCCATACAGACATTAACGAGGTAGTCTACATCTCCCCATATGGCTCTCACTAACACTAAGAGACTTCATCGAAGGAAGCCACGTCTTGGTCTGGGTAAACTGAACCCTCTCCCAACATAATCCAACTTCCCCTAGCATGACAAGTCGGGGTAGACGGTGACTCGGCATGCGCAGTACATGCCCAAGTCACTTCAGACGACTGAGGTTCACAACCCCAGAGGTCGACTTGCCTAGCACTCATCACCTGACCTCAACATTGATCACACGGTGATTGCACCGAACGCGAATAGTGTTGCGAAGACACATGTGGTCAAAGCCTTGTAATCACTTCACGTCTTCTACTTTCAACAGTCATTTCTTACAGCTGCATAGCAGGGTAGAACAGACTGCAGTACAGTATACTCGTCCTTTAATAGGTTATGGGTTATCTCACCGGCGCAGTATAGCAAACAGGTCTTCTGTATCCCAGCTGACTTTTTGTCAGCAACGAAACCGTTCGCGGTAATGCAACTCTCCAAGTAAGTGAGGTGGTCGACACATTCCACCACTTCACTTCCTATCATTAAGCTGGGAGTATTTGCATCACATCCGTCCTGGAGCATCATTTAGCATTTGCCAGGTGAGAAACACTTGCCAGTTGTAGTCAGATTTCTGCTCAATGCGTCCATAGGGCCTTGCATTTTGTCAACATCTTCACCTCAGCATACTCCAAATCAACCAGATAACCTCAGTGGAGTAGAACAATTCCTTCAAAGGCAGACGAACCTAGGTTTGTGTCTATCAGTGTGTCTATAACGACGTTAAGTAGGAACGGCGACAGTGAATAACTCTAACGGACACCACTAGTTGTCTTCAATTCACGTGGCAACTCCCTGACATGGCTGCGTGAGTTCTAGCTGGGAACTTTGATTAGCATACATTCTCACTCAGTGCTTTCTTCACAGTCAGACACTGTCACAACACCTCACAGTCGATAGAGTGAAATACTACCTTCAGGTCCAAAAATATGGCATATATCC